GTCTCAAGCCAAGTGGGAATCTCTCTGCACATTTCACTGCTTAGATAAGTAAGGAGCTACATGATCCAGGCTAGACCAAATGAATTAGGCAAAATCCTTTAAAATACTGAGGATCCTGCACAAGATTTGTCAAAACAAACAAACAAACCAAAAATAGCATATTGGTCTCAGAGAGGGGGAAATACATCTGTAACTGGCCATTATATTTTTAAGATCAACAAAACTGGCCCAAAGCATTTAACTTCATTATTTAACTCTTCATTTAGCAAATAATGGAGAAGAAGGAAGAAAAACCTCAAAATTAGTCTGTGGTTTCAAAGAGTTGAAAGATGGTCTCATGATGAGAATACAGGCTGGTAAACATTGTTTAGGTCAAGGTATACTTAGCATTTAAGGGCCAAGAAGAACACTGACCTTCCACTACTTTGATTTGAAAGCACAATAGCACCTAATCCATTGTGACACCTAAGGCACATAATCCCTACTTTATCTCCTATCATAGATGAAGTCTTTCCCTGCCTTGACACAAAATGAGTTTATAATCAAATAATCAAATAATCAAATAAATAAATAAATAAATAAATAAATAAATAAATAAATAAATAAATAGCCAGAACCACAAAGGTACCTTTCCATACCAACCACAACACATAGATGTCCTGGTTTTAGCAAGAAGTCCAATAGCACTGGACTCAGTTTACTCAGGGCTTCCTAAATGTTTTGGCAGAGATGGTTGAACGGTGACAATTTGGACCAACTTTTAAAGGGGTAAATATTATTTTTGATACTTTGAAAGCAGCTTTAGGTCAAAGCTGATTAACTCTTTCTCTCTGTCTTACAAACACAGAATGTTCTAATAAATATTTACCCAGATATTACATAGAATATAAGACATTGATATTGCATCTGTCGCTCTGTTAGTTCACTAAATTCTACCTTCTACCTCTGCCGGTCTGCTTCCAATCAGATCCTACTGCTGCCCATCGTATTCAACCCACAGCCAACTACATCGTTTAAAAACAAACAAACAAACAAACAAAAAACTGCTGCTACAAGAGATGCAGAACATGCCTTAACACAAATTAGACAGCAGATAGTTTCTCAAAAGGCAGCATCTAATTCATTTCCTATTCTATTCAGTGCCTTATATATACAAATCCATTCAGCTTTCTAATAAATAACCTTGTAAGATGCTCATATATATTCAGGAATATATTCCTATAGCAACAAAGCAAGTTATGACCTATTCTTAGCTCTATGGTATCCCAGCAAATGATCTGTCTCAAGCTATAGACAAAAATAAGCAATCTTTCTTTTCCTCTGACTTTCATCCCTGGTATTATTGAAACCCCTTTTAAGTTTGATGAATTGAAGGCTGATTCAACTGGAGGTAGCATCTTTTACCAGCATACACTTTTACAGCTCACAGTGTTTCCTCATATTTGAAACACAGCAAAAGGTGTATATACATTGATACCTATATACCTAAAGCCCTAATAGCGAAAGCATTCATGCTTCCAATTGCATAAATATTATGGAAGCAGTTATACGTTGTCAGGATGAATAAAACATTCATGGAGTTTAATAATAGATATGACTGAGATAAATTGAAATATCTCTCCACATTACTCATTCACTGCTATTATCCCTTGAAAGTATCTATTTCCTTTTATAATGGTATAAAAATCCATGAATATATTCAGCAGATATGCAAACTTCCTTACTTGATAGAAATCTAAAATATTTATATTGTTTTGCACATTATTCATCCATTAATTCTGCTTCAGTTAAAGCTAAGTTCCTTTCTAAAAAAGTGAAAGAACTTCAAAAGGCAATTTCAGAATAAATAAATTCTGAGAACTATTGTTACTACTTCATAAAAGTGATTTCATTTACTTATTCTACTTAAAATATACTATGCTATGACAACAATAAATCGTCAATATTATGTCACAAAAAAAAAGAAAGAAAATATAATCCAAATACAGCAATCCATTTTTTCAATTCATTTCAGTTTTTTTTTAAAGAAAGAAATATCAAGTAATGTTATGATATGAAAAGCAACTGGCATTTTGTTAGTTTCATATAGGATCTGTATTCATAAAGTGGTATGAATTACCTAGAACTCTGTGTTTTGATTGATGTTCTGTCAGTTCTTTACACATTAATCCAACCATACCTTTATAACCAATTTGTGAATAAAACTGCTTGTTCTTAGATGGTTCTGAGAACTGATTGATTGATTTATTGAGCAGAATTTTGTTTTTAAATTGAAGACAGATTAGGCTAAAGTAACTATTCCCTCTCCCTTCCCCACTTTACTCATATAACATTCTGGTTGGAAAAACTGAAACAAGGTCAGGGGAGGGTAAAGAAAAAAAATGGTAAAGGGCCTTTTTAAATAGTTATAGTTTGTACAGAGCAGCAGAGAGTTGTATTTTCATCATCATCATCATCATCATCATCATCATCATCATCATCAATCATCAACATCATCAAAAGGTTATACAAAGTAGATAAAAGCAAGACAAGGTTTAGGAAATTTCCCAATGCTTGACTCACATCACATTGCTATCTCCACAAAGGTTCCTCTATGTTTCAGCTTCCTTTCCTCCCCCCATCTTTTTTTTTTTTTTTAACCAATTGATTTCGGGTACCTTATTTGGTCATTCCTTCCTCTCCTTCTCTTTCTCCTCTTAAGCACCTGGTGCACAAAAGCAGACAGTTTATTCTTATATGTGTATTTATTTGTTAGTTACCCAGACTCTCCCCCATCTGTTCTCTCTGAAGTTACGCTTAGTTAGCCCATTCCAGTGTTTTCCTCTTTAAAAGGATGTCTCTGCCTACAGAAAGCCAGAAGCAACGTGACTGAAATCTTTCATTTCTCCCCTGGGATTTCGATTCGGAAGCTGCAATTGATTTGCGGGGGGGCTTTCTGCCTCCACATGTATTCTCTAGTTAAGGGCCAGCCTACTGTGCAAGGGAAATCAAAGGAGATGGTATTGAAGTCGGACGGCAGGAACAAGAGGGGTTTATTTCAAGTCTGAAAGGTGGCAGAATTCAAATGGGGTGGGGGGGAAGGGAGGCTAGGAAATTCCATTACTAATTAGTTGGGGGGATTTTTTTTTCTCCACTCTCTCTCTCTCTCTCCATCCCTAAGAGATGCTGAAGCCCAATCACCATCAGTACTCTCACTTGTCAATCATTGTGTTTAAAGAATTGCTGCCCAATGAAGTCAGACCCCCATATTAATGAGAGGGATCTAAGGAATAGTCAATTAAATCAGACTCCCATCCAGCTCCCTAGTTTATCTGCAGTGTGCAACCACAGCAGTATTGGCACCAACGGCATTTCCAGTATTAATAAAGGATTTCAGTGCTGCATTCAGGGGAAGAAAGGAAAGGGGTAACAACTGACTGCTGAAATGTACATGATTTTAAGACCGCAAGACTCACCCAGGAATAAAAATAAAAGGTTTCCCCACCACCATCACCACCACCACCACCACCACCACTCTCAGAATAAACTAAAATGAAATAATCCCACTGTGGGAGTTAGGACGTGACATTGGGAGAATTAAAATGAATGACCCAAGCCTTGAAAACATTTTCACTTTAATACTGAAAAAATATGCCATTATAAAATCCTTGAATAGAATTAGTAAGTCTTCCTTGCTCTTTTTTCTCAACTCAGATTTTTCTCAAGATATTTTTATATTTTTTTCAGAGTTTGATTTACAAGAGCACAAAAACCTTCTTTCATTCATCTTTGCAGCTTAAGCATTCAAGTGGCATTCACTACTCATGCTTAACTGCTTCAGGCTCTTGGTTTTGTTTGGTTTTGTTTGGTTCTGTTTTTATTTTCTTTTTTTTTAAAAAAAAAGCAAAAAGCAAAACCAAAACAAGACAAAACCCAAGTAATGGATATTTTAACATATTGATCAACAGAGAAAACCCCAAGGATACTTGCTTTACATTCAGATGGAAAGGCATTCTGGATATGTCAATTTCCAAAAGAAGCTTGAAAATAACCAGAAAGAAATTCATCCCCTCCTCCCTCCCAACAAAGAAAAAAATCCCCCAAGAAAGTAAATTTCTCCCACCCAAAATGCAAAACCTGAACCCAGGAGAGTATAAACCATGCAAACATGTCTTAAATAAAATCTTTACATTTTTCCTTGTTTTTTTTTTTTTCACAGTAAATGGACAATCTCTACTGCCTAGCAATCACACAAAAATAATGGCGAAATGGCACTTTTTATTCTTATTATACTGTATTTTGTATATAGAAAGTTTGATACGATGGAACTTATCAGGTAAGAGGGAGGACGAGGTGAACTGGACGCTGCTTCCATTTGGGGCCGAAGCGTCCCTGGGTGGTTTTGTATCCATGCGAACCATGCAGCAACTTGGGTTGGTTTGTTCTAGATCAGAGTTATTTATTTACAATACATTCATGCCTTCGTGCAACTCGACTCTCCTGCCTTATTCACAATGGGGAGGGCACAAGCAAGAGCTGTTCTTCCCCATCACACCTAGGGCACTAAATCCACATAGGTATGGATCAACCTGCAGGAGAGTGTATTCACTCTTTCTCTTGCTGCGATTTCAAGCCAACCTTGGCCTTTTGATTGGATCTTTTATTTCTTTCCCACTGGTTATACAGTGTAGAGTTACACAACCTCAGGTTGAGGCTAGGCAAATAATAATAATTAAAAAATTAAAATAATAAAAAAGGCAGGCCTCCACTCATAGTGTTGGCCCAGGTTTGGTGAGCGGGTAGGTATTTTTCACCAGAAGGTAGCTTTAAGTGGGCTAAGCCTCATCCCTTCTTGTGGTCCAATTCACATCAGCGGACAAGACAGTGATGCACAGATCAGGAGAAGAAAGCTTTGAACCACTGAAGGGAAGTTGAGGTTGCTAGCTGCTGAAGTTGAACTGATTGCCCATACATGATGTTACTTTTTAACTTTAAATGTTCTAGTTCCTCACTCTCATGTCTCAGTCTGATAGGGAGTGAGAGCCACAGTCATACACTCTATGCGCTCCATCTGTATTGTAGGGTCCATTGTGCCAGTAGGATGAGTCACAAACTGTCTGTAAAGAGTTGATTTCAGAGGCAGAAGAGTTGGCATCCCTTCTTTTGGAGCGTTTCCGGTTCCTCAGGATGAAGACAAGCATGCCAACCACCGTGAAGGCAGAGGTGACAAACACCAACAAAAGGCCAGGCACCAGAACTGAGATGGAGACCCTACTAGTCTCCAAGTAGGAATTAGAGTGAGTCCCAGTCTCAGCCAAGCCAGTACTGTTCTTATGTGTGGAAGTCAAAGTGGGCATGACTTTGAGTTGAGGGCAAATGGCCTCATTGGAGAGGGATTCAAAATCCTCTTTAAAGAACTCTTCTGGAGTCTCACACCTTAAGTCACTCATCATTACCTTGGGCCGCAGCATCTCCACCCACTGTTTGAAAGGGACAATTGGACATTTGCAGTCCCATGGGTTGTCATGCAGATCTATTTGGGTAATGGAGGTGAGTTGATCCAGCACTCCTGCCACTGGCAGATAAAGGAAGTAGTTATTATGGATGCTGAGCTTAGAGAGAGATACTCCAGCAAAGACATCAACCGGAAGAGACCTCAGAAGATTGTTATTCAAAATGAGGACTCTCAGTTTAGGCATGGCATTGAATGTCCCTGGCAGGATGAGTTGGATGACATTAAATTCCATATTTAGGTACTCTAGGTTTTGCAAACCATTGAATTTCTCTCGAGACAGTATATCTAAATAATTATTGTCCATGTAGAGCCACACCAGCTCCAGTAGATTCTTGAAAGTGTTGTTCTCCATAGTGGCAATGTTGTTGTTGCCCAAGTCCAGTAGGTTGAGTTTCTGATAATCCACAAAATGTGACTTGCGAATGGTGTGAATCTTGTTGCCCCTCAGAAAGAGTTCATGGACATTGGATGGCTTAGGCTTCAGATCCACCAAGCTGCTGATGTTGCCATCATTGCAGTTCACCTTGAATCCTCCAGGAATCTGATGGCAAGTGCAGGTGGCAGGGCAAGGTGTATTACTGGAAGACTTGCCTTTCATGGTGTTGATTGAGCTGGCCATCGTAGGTCTGGACTTGATTTGCCAGTTGACTGGGATCTTGGTACCCCCATGAGGTGCAGAACCTGGTGTGGCAGAATCTTCCTTGCCATGGATCTTAAAGGGAGTGGGAATAGGGCCAGGATCACAAGTCTCCTCTTCTGCAGGGGGAGCAGCCAGGCTGGAGTCCACTCGGGTTTTTCTGCACAACTCCTGTTCAGTTGTCTCATTTAAATCCTTCCCTTGCAATCGTGTGGGAGCTTCACAAATCACCCGACCGATCAAAGCATTCTTGGGGATGTTCTCCAGCCATTCTTTCAAGGAGAGTAGATCACAGGTACAGTCCCAAGGGTTGTCCTCCAGCAGGATCTCAGCAATGCCTGGGATCTGTTCCAAAACATCCTCGTAAGGCAAGGTTTTCAGGCGGTTGCCTCGTAGGTCCAAGTGGGTAATTGGCACATACTGGAACACATTGGCTGGTAAGATGCTGATCAGATTGTCATTTAAAATCAGCACCTCCAGCTTGTTTAAGTCCCGGAAGGCCCCCGGGTCAATATCCCTCAATAAATTAAAATCAGCCTGGAGATATTCCAGATCATCCAGCCCCAAGAAAGTCTGCTTGCGAAAAGATTTGAGCTTGTTGTTGTTGATGTGCAGCCTCTTCACCAGCTGCAGCCCCAGGAAAGCCCCCGGCACAATTTCGTGCAAACCGTTGTTTTCCATGTGCAAGCTAACTGCATTGTAAAAGTTAGCGAACTCATTGGGGAAAAGGCGCGTGAGGGAATTGCCGTGCAGGAACAAATGGTAGAACTGGGAAGTGGGGGCTGAGAAACGTTGCAGGCTGGTGAAACCCTTCTTCTCGCAGTCGACGTGCAAGTCGCCTTCGATCTCTGGGCACGAGCAGATCTTCTCTTTGCAAACGTCCCCCGTAACATTCCCGGCAGCCAAACAAAGAGACGTCTCCAGCAAGAGAATCCAAAGCAGCATTTTTACACCGAGCGAGTCATTCCCGAGCTGAAGCACACAGAGGAAAACTACAAGGCAAAAACAAAACAAAACAGGCTTCTTTTCAAGCCGGAGCCCAGTCAAGTTCCTTCCAGGCACGGAATGTCCGAACCATCGTCAAAAATGGGGGGAGGGAAGGTTTGGGGGGGGGGGGGGAACGGAAAAGGGAGATAAAAATACAGTTGTCTTGGCTAAAGAGGAATGCAGTGAGGCGGAGGGTTGAGAGACGCCGTCTGCTCTCCTTTTAGCTCTCTCTCCCCCCGCAAACACTGCAACAGCCCGGACTCCAGTCAGCAATCATATCCACAAAGTCTCCAGATACACATGGGGAAGCACAAGAAGAAGAACAAAAATTAAAAAAAAGTTGGGTACCCCCCACTTCATCAACTCCCCCTCGGTAGCCTCCCCGCCTTCCCCCCGCCAAAGCGAAGTCGATCTCCGGCAGCCTCGGCTAAGGAACGATCTCGCTAGGAATCGCCAGAAGCGGCCGCTGCGTCTGCAGGAGAGTGGCAGGGCTGGAGGGACGAAGGTGGGAGAAGAGAGCTTGCTGGGTGCATGGCTTGGCTCCGGACTGACCTTGCCTCTCTCGCGCAAAGCCGGCCTCGGCGCTGCTGCTGTTGCTGTGGTCGTCGCCCGGTGCCCGAAAGACCCCCCACTCTTCTGGGTGCTGTCCAGTCCCCCTTGGTGCTGAAATCACGCCCCAGCCTAACGGCGGGCTGCCGAACCAATGGCGCTGCAAAAATTCTGCAATCGCTGCGGTTTTGCTCTGTCCACCGCTTCCCTCCTTGCGTTCGCTCTCCCCCTCTCGCCTCTCGGTCTCTCTACTGTCTTTCGGTAATTGCGCTCTGTCTTTTTCCGTCTTTCATCATCTCCTTATTATTATTTACTCATTTACTCACTCCTTCACGCGTCGAAGGCAGGAGTTGTTAGGAGGTTGTGCTCTTTCAAGCCTGGCGCACTCAGAAAGATCTGACACCCTCTGCTGAGCCGCAGTGGCAAAAATCCATCTGCTGAGGGAATGTTGGAGAAG